CAAATACCCAACAAAAACTGTTGCAACAAACAAAACTTAACATAAACCCTAATCGTCTACAATCTCCCCCCTTAAATAACCTAAGCCCCCTAATGAATGCCTCTTACATCTTTCCCAAAGAGTTTTACCCCAAAGCCTCTTCTCTTATAGGTGATAAATGAGGTCCTAGGCCCCACTTGGGCTGCTGCTCGCCTAGGCAGGTGGGCTGCCACCAGCCGTATCAATACTCTTCTCCCCAAAAGTCACATTGTCCTCAAGATGGAAAGAGGGGAATTGTTTCTGGATGCCATGTCGCCTCATACTCTGGTAAATCCTTCTACTTTATCAGCATCTCCCTGATCCACTTGTCTCCTTGACGCACATCTTTTACATCAAATGATTCTAATATCATCTCCACATTCTTTGATAGTGTGGTTGGTAGTGCGGGCGAGGGTGTGTGGTTTCCAATGGATCATCTCAGTTGCGATACATGAAATACAGGATGGATGATTGAGGTCGATGGCAACTGTAAGCGATATGCTACTGCGACAATGCGCTCCACTACCTCATATAGCCCAAAGTAGCAGGGGAGAGCTTCTTATTCATTTGTCGAGCCAAAGTCCTTTGTACGTAAGGTTGGATCTTTAGATAAACCCTATCCCCAACCTTAAATTGCACGTCTCTTTTGTGTTCATCCGCTTGCTTCTTCATGATTTGCTATGCTCTTCGTAGATGTTCCTTCAATATGTTAAAATATAGTCTTTTTCTCCTAAGTACTGCTCCACTAATGGCGCTGGTGTGTTGCCGTGACCATAATATATTAAATGAGGTGGATCTCTCCATATAGGATTTTAAATGATATTGTTTGAGCAGCTGTATGATGTGAAGTGTTGTTACCAATATTTCGCCAAGGATAACCACTTGGACCACATCTTTGGTGCATCTAATACAAAGCAATGAAGATTAGTCTCTACACTGTGATTCACCACCTTCGTCTAGCCCTTCGTCTGTGGGTGGTAAGCTATACTCTGCTTCAGGATAGTCCCATGCATCTTGAATAACTCTGATCTCCAGAAGTGGCTCAGAAAGGCCTTGTCCTGATCGAACACAATGGCCTTGTGTATACCATGCAAATAGACCACCTCTCTAATGAATGTGGCTGCCATCGACATTGCAGTGTATGGGTGGCGTAAGGGAATGAAATGAGCATATTTGCACAATTTTTCCACCACCAATAGAATCACAGTGAACCCATCTGATCTAAGTAGTCTCTCAATGAAGTCCATAGTCACCCCTTCCCACACCTTCTCGGGTAATACTAAAGGCTATAGAAGACCACCTGAAGCCATAGTCAGGTATTTGTGTCTTTAACACACATCACAACTGGCCACCAACTTATCTAAATCCTTTTGTATGCCCACCCAGTATAGCTCCACTGTCAATCTATGATATGTCTTTTGAACTCCTGAATGTCCCCCAATAGCTATGCCATGAAACTTCTGTAACAAGTGAGGGATGTGTGGCAATGTCCTCGAAGGCACATATCGGCCTTGGTATAGCAGCTTTTGCCCATTGAAGAGTAACCAAGATGGCTATCATTGTCCTGCTGTAAGTCTCCTCTAATCTTACTCAGCTTCTCATCCTGCTCGCTCTCACGCTTTACGGCCTTCCAATCCACCACGATGGGAACATATAGAGCCATAACTTGAGAGTCTTTACTATGCCTGAAGAGAGTATCTCCATTTTTATTTTCCAACCCGGGCTTGTACTGGATCTCAAAATCATAACCCAACAACTTTGAAAGCCACCGTTGATGCTCCTCTGTCACCATCCACTGTTATAATAATAACTTCAAGCTCCTCTGGTCGGTCTTGACTATGAAGTGTCGCCCCAACAAGTAAGGTTGCCACTTTTGTATTGTCAACACTATTGCCATCAACTCCCTTTCATATACTAATTTTAGCTTGGCCCTATCAATCATCACCTGGCTGAAATAAGCTATAGGTCTCAGACTCTACATGAGAATTGCTCTCACCCATAACCTGATGCATCAGAGTCTCCACTACAAATGACTGGCTAAAATCTATTAGTGCTAACATAGGGGTAATCATCATGGTTTTCTTCAGCTGCTCAAATGCCTGGGTGGTTGCCCCCATTTGAAACTATCTTCTTGAGTTGCTCTGTCAACGACTATGCCATAGAGCTGTATCCCCTCACAAACTTTATGTAGTACCTTGTGTTCCAAGAACCCCTAAACCCCTTCAAGGTTTTGGGTATGGGACACTCCAACTTAGCCTCTATTTTGAAAAGATTTGCAGCTGCTCTTGATTTGGACACCACATGTCCCAAATACACCACCCTATACTGTGTAAATGAACATGTCTTCGAATTGTAATTCAATTGATGCTCTTTCAATGTCAGTAACACGAACCTCAAGTGTTCCACATGCTCAGCCTTAGACCGGCTATACACCAAGATGTCATCGAAGAAAACCAATACAAACTTGCGGAAGTAGGGCTTGAATAACTTGTTCATAAGCGACTGGAAGGTAGCTGGGGTGTTGATAAGCCCCAAAGGCATCACTAAGAACTCATGGTGGCCTTCAGGAGTCCTATAAGAAGTCTTGTGGATGTCAGCTGTCCGCATTTTGATCTGATGGTATCTCAATTTCAATCAATCTTGGAGAACATCTCCGCTTCATATAACTCATTTAGCAACTCATCAATGACTAGTATATGAAACTTATCAACACCGTTTATTTATTCAGAGCCTAATAATCAACACAAAATCTCCAACTACCATTCTTCTTCTTCACCAGCAACATAGGATTGGAGAAGGGACTAACACTGGGACAAATGATATGGGCCTCCAACATCTCCTTGACCAGTCTCTCAATTTCATCCTTTTGAACCCTATGGGTACCGATAGGGTTGAACACTAATAGGGGATACCCTCTCCTTCAGGATGATGGCATGCTCATGCTCTCTTGGGGGGTAGACCTTGAGGCAACTGGAACACCTCATTAAATTGTTACAGAAGTATCTGGACTATCTTTGGAACATCCTCTTCTTTCTCTATGCTTCCCTCTCCCTTGAGGCTCTGGCGCTCCACCATGAATTCCATCCCTGCTCCCTGTATTGCCCTTACCATGGTCTTAAGAGAAACCCTAATTTTGGACAGACTAGGATCCCCCGTGGTTTTGGTTGATGTGTGAAGGCAAGCTAATGTCAATAGAAGTTGAGATTAAAGTGAGGTTTTTACATTTTGAAGAGGAAGGGAAAGCTTAGCCCCATTTGTGAGGGAGAGAAGAGATGAGCTTATAGTCCTTTTAGGAGAGGGGGGGGGGGGGGGGGGGGGGGGGGGGGGGGGGAGGAGTAGATTCCGAGGCTCACTTGAGGTTGTGATGCATGCACGAGTTGGGAATCGGTAAGATTAGGCTAGGTTTATATATTTATTTTTAAAATTTTGTTTTATAAATTAAACTCTAAATGATTATTTGGCATCATTGCATGTTATGAGGAGTATGAGATTCAAGGGATAGGACAACAATAACAACGACATCAAACCTTTATCCCACTACATGGGGTCAACTACATGAATCCTTTTTCTCCATTGTATCATTTTTGAGAGTTAATATCTCAATTCCAGGGATAGGATGTATGCAAATTTTTCTTTTTTTTTTCTTAGGGGCTGGGGCTGTTTTGTTGGAAGTGGGTGTAAAGTATTTCAAATGCAGGGTTTTTTTAAATATTGGTATTTGGTTGGATGAAAAATTATTGTAGAGTAAAGTAAATATAGTGTAAATGGTTCATTTTTGAGGAAACTAAACTCATCTAGTTTTTAGCGAGAACTGTTTACACTGCAAACAAGTTTGCTTGATCACTGTCAACATCTTTGGACTTTACACTACATTCATTTTATTTAAAAAAAATCACATGCATATACTTTATACTCATCCAAACAATTCGAAAGTATTCCTTTCACTTTATATTTCTTTTAAATTGCATTTTTTTAAACTGCATTTTTTTTAGCCAACTAAATAACCCCTTAATTAATGGTAAACAACAAGATGAATACATATATGTATATGTATGTGTGTGTATATATTTATATATCAATTTTGATTAATTAAAAATAATATGTATTTTTCTTAGAATAATGATTTTTTAAAGTATCGTAGTAATTTTTAGTTTTAATTTTAATATAATTTTATTCTAAAATTGATTAAAATATTATGCATATGTAATTAGATAATAATGTTAATTGCAATAATTATAGTTATAATTTTTAATTTAATCTAATTTGTAATAAAAAATAGATTTTCTTTTTTGTAAATCTTCGTTGCTCAAGTACGGTATATTTCATCTCATAGCCTCACCTTGTCTCACATGTGTAGGCAAATTTCATGTTTTTCTTTTATACAATGATTTGATGATGCAATACACTTTTCTAGGTATTTCCATTATTTCAGATGCGTCGATGCAATCTGTTATAATAATCGCGTTATGATTGGGTGACTTTTGTAGTAGATGCATCTTGAGTTTGAGTTGCACAACATCACATTAATTAAACATTGTTTTCGTTTTTTTATCGACTTAGTTGTAGGGTTTCTACCTTATAACCTCGATGCTATGAATGCTTCGACAGAGTCTATTCTCGCGGTATGGTTGACGTTTGAATATTCTGATGTTAGCATTGCATTTTAAATTGAAATTATGCGACTTTGCATCCGTCGTCTGCTATTTTTGTCATATCGCCTGAGTTGACTGATGAAATAAGTACATAGAGTTCAACATGCTGAATCAACCAGGATATTAAAATATTACTCTATTATCTTACATTCTTTTATTAGAACCCTCCCCTTTGTACACATGGTCAATTCAATTATGTCTGAGAAGTAGTTTTGATTTCTTTTGTTTGCCATGTTGTTGATCGTTATCAATTGTGCTATGGTTGATCCTCATGTTATTCGAGTCATGGGTACTATTATTCTTCATGACATGCATTTGAATCTGGCCCAGTTCTTACCTCAAGATCGAGTATGCGAGTTTGCTAAGTTAACTCCTATACAACTGCTGCAAGAAACTGAAAAAGCTGTCGGTGATCCTCAATTACCAGTTCAACATCAGAAACTTATTGATAAAAGGAGAGAATTGAAGGATCTTGAAGTGGTATGTTTCTTAACGTTTTGGGCCATCATGCAATCATAAAATATAAGTTTTGAGTACAAATACCCTATTCTTTGGGACGAATATCTACTACCTGTGGATAATTGTTGTAATTGTTGTGGACAAAATTCTGCTAAAGCTTTTGTGATGCACTTATATGTTGTAGAGTGTTGCCAGAAATAAGGACACGTTGAATCAGCTGAAAGCCCTTAATGCGCAGCAAGAAAAGGACGTGGAGCGTGTCCGTCAAAGAGAAAAAATTTTGTCCAAGGCAAGTATATTATTTTGAAATTTTATTTTACCTGTTGCAATATTATACTTATTTCAGTCTTTTGGATCCTGACATATATGGTGAATATGACAATTCTTTTAGAAGTCTGTGGTGTCTTAGATAAATTCCTTCAGTATGGCTTTAATTTCAACTCAATATTTTAGAAAGCATGAATCCAATGTGAAGCATGCACTTCTGTTGCATTTTCTTGGTTTAAAAGAATATAAATAAGAACTTTCTGGTATTGAACAGATACGATGAAATACAAAATGCTTGCATCTTTATTAAGGCAGACAAAAAAATGTACAAAAATGTAGGCATTATTTGGTGTGATGTGTTCTAGAGTTAATTTTAAAACATCTGAAATGAATTTCTTCATAAACACTTTCATCAAATATTAAGAATCTATACTTTGAGACATAGAAGGAGACATTTCATAAATTTAATTACATCTCGAAATGGTAAATTGTTTTTGCTTCTATATCTTCACAACTATTAAAATTTTAATTAATAGTGCTGTGAGTTTAAAGTTTACGTTTCAAATATCACACCCAATTATTCAACTCCCAGTGAAAGAGGAACTAGTGTGTAGTGTCATGTAAATTTGTATTTTAAATTGCAGTAAAGGTACCTCAAATATTGTTAAAAAATATTTGGTCAAAACTATGGCCTTGTTTGGTTAAAAGCAAGTACGAAGCATATGCTTTGGTGGTTTGGTTAACGGGGTAAATGAATTTCCCCCACGAAGTGATACATGGGATTGTTTACTATTTGCTTTTTTGTGTCCGGATGCTCCAAGTGAATAAGAAGTGATTATAACTATGATACTCTTACTTTTTGTCAAAATGATACCCACATATGTTACACGCTTACACTTTCATTATATGCACATGATATGATTTATTATGTAATATATTATCAAGGTTGTGAAAATTGGATCAGATATAGAACTGAAAAAAAAAGAGAGATTCAATGTTCAATGGTTCGACTGGGGTTAAACTAGATGACATAATAAATATCAAAATTTTAAAATAATATCTAAATGAAATAATAATAATGTAATAATCATCTAATAATACAAATTTATGATTAAAAAATAAATATAATTTATACACAAATAATAATCAATTATTTTAAATTTTAGATTCCTTCAATTTTAAATTTAATTTATATTTAGTATAAATTTAATTCACATATAAACTTATAAATTTAATACAAATTATTACTAATTTATATAATATATTTAGATGTAATTTGCACCTTAAATTCTATATTAATTTCACATTATAAATTTGGATCTATATATCACTTGTATTAGATCATTTATCACTAATAAATAAACATATATATATATATAATTTATATTAAATTATTAAGTTTAAGAATTTATTTAATATTTATATAAATTATTTAAATGCTTCAATTGACTTGGGCAATTTTTGGAAACTGGGACCAGTTCGTCGGTTACTTGGTTGAACCGACAGTTTAATCTAGTTTTGATTGGTCCAATGCTAAACTAGTTTTTGGGTTTGAACACTTGACTGATTCCCTGTTCAACCAATTGAATTGGTTGGCCCGGTCTGATTTTTAAAATAATGTATATTATAGTGTATTTGTTAACAAATTATAATATCTTATAGTATGAATTAGTGTTTTCTTGCTAGAAATTTAAGGTCTAAAAAAAGATCATACAAAACTAAGTAAATATGATGATAGAGTATCATAAAAGTTTATCAATGTATTGAAACATAATTTTAAAAATGGTAGAAAGTATTTCTATGATTACGAGGAAAAGCTAGAATTCTTAAAAAACAAATACTATAATTTTTAATGATTTATATAATATCCTTCGTAGCTAGGCTTATAGGAGATCGAAGAAGTTAAAAGAAGAAAAAATAATATATATATATATATATATAATCTAGAAAATTTGATTAAGTTTGGTGTATTAAAAATGAGATGTGAAGGATAGGAGTTAAAGCTGAATATATCAACAAAAGAGGAAAAATGTTTAGAAGATAGAGGATTTAAAATTAGTAGAAAAAAGTTGAATATATAAGAGATAACTTGCATGCCAGTATAATATCATATTAACAGTAGAACATGCTTATTATAACTATCATGATATTTATATCCTGTTGCAAATATCAAATTAGTGTCGGTATGAAACTAGTGTCGATTGCAGGTATACACAAAAAATAGCAAAGTAAACATTTATTTTGAATACGATGTCAGAAATAAAATAACATGACAAAAAAAAAAAAACGTTTCATTTTAGAGCATTTTGCTATTTCTCCTGCAGTATAAGCATTTATTTATAGTGCATAGACCGTTATTCATTCACTTGAATGCACATAAAATATAAAAGACAAGCAACCTATATTTTCTTCTTTTCACACATTTTAGATACATGAGCATAGAAATATTAGTACTTAGAATATGTATGAATAGCATCTAACATATTACAAATAAATATAAAAATTAGCATGTATGAAAAAATAGTAGTGTTTACGGGGGTAAATTTATATACACAATTTAACAATTATAAATTATAAACCCATTCATATGCAATATTGACATCATCATTTTGAAGATTTTATCGATCTATAACAATTTCTATTGGTGTCAATATATTCGCTGAAATGCTTAAAACATCTTACAATAAAAAATACCACAGTGAAAAATTAAATTATACTTGTTAATATGTCCAGAATATTTTATTCTACAACATACTGGAAGTTACACTGTAAAAAAAAAATTTCAATCTCTATAGATTTTAGTTTGTGTAAAATTTGATCAAATAAAATACCAAAATTCACTTGAGAGATAAAAATTAAAATTTGAAGTAGGGTAATAGTGGCGTATCTTGAGCTCGATAATTTTCCCAACTAGTTTGATGGACAAAATCAGCTCTAAGACCTTTATTCTTAAGGTTTCTCTCTCCTCTCTCTCTCTCTCTTCTTTAATTTCCTGAATGAGCTCACAACCACGAGAGGAAAATGGAGCTTAAATGGGATCCGGGAAATTGATTTTCATTTTATATATAGAAAAAATATTATAAGGGTTTATTGATAATTATAAAAATTGTTTAGTGTAATTTGTAAATTTCATATAAATTTCTTTTTAACATAAAATTCGGAGCGCCAAAAATTATGAAAAAATAATTAATAAATATTATAATATGCTTAGAATACTTTGGTGAAAATGATTAGTAAATCAGATACCAAATGGTCCTAGAAAACCCACTTTGTGGAAGATGTGCTAATTTCTTATGGAAGACAGATCTAATAACAAACCTCTTATTTTCATATCCACGAGGGCCATAAAAATTGATAAAAATATATCTAAAATATACTGTTAAGTGCTCTACACTATGGTGAAGCTGTTTTGCATGTTAGATGTAAAATGTGTCCAAAAAAATAAATTGAATGGACTAAGGTAGACTTTCAACTTATCTAATTTCTCTCAAAATCAAACCATGAAATTTTGGTAACTAAACTGGGCATAAAAATAATTCTAAAAATTCATGGAAATTTAATAGATACTAAATAAACATGCAAGTCTTACCAGATCCAAATCAAGTTAGCGCGTGTAGTTTAATTGCTATGAAATGATCATTACATTATGCCCCCTCTCTTTCTCTCTCAACTTCCCTTTCTCTGTCTCTAAAAAAATTAGAGAGGTATATATATATATATTCTCGTACACAAGGTATAATTCAAAGTGTCAAAATTAAGTACCTGTGCGTGCTATTCAAACTCGGTGGAAAAAATTGTAAAAAATTGTTTATGCGTGTTGTTTGCACATGACACAAAAATTTTATGTTGTAGTTCGTCAGGTGACGAAGATTAGAGTGCTTGTTTTTAAGCTATGTGAGTTAAAAGAATCCTGGCCATGTGAAACTAATCATGCATGTTTTTTTAAGCATGGTGGGAATGCCTAGCACCTACGAAAATGCCCCATACACGAGGGAGATGTTGGGAGATTATTGAAACATATACTGGTAGGTGACTCAAAAAAACATATGAGAATAAATTTAAGAACAAAAAATGCAATTAAAAATTGAAAAGTTAAGTACAAACTCGCAACTAGAACAATTTGAATACTTAAAATGCAACCTGCATTGTGATTAACCAAAAATAGGATTTGAATTTAAACATGACATGTATTGAACATAGAACTCAATAACTCATGTACTGGCAAGAAGATTACCACCTGACTCCAGCCAAACACAAAAAAATCCATAAGATTTGTGCCTAAATGAAAACTTGAACGACATAAAATGAATAGATCTATGCCTTCCAATGTATACCTAAAATATGATTCACTGTGGAATTCACCATACCAAAATCCAAGCAGGTAAAAACAATAAAAAGTTAAGGTGAAACATATGATGAGATTTCTATTTGCTTTCTATGTCGCGGGATCTGCAACTCATACATGCAAGTGAACAGAAGGTGGAAGGTCGTCCTTTTAAATTTCAAATTGAGACTGTGCATTTTAATGGTAAATGTTTGCACGAACTATCAAAATTTTGATAGAAGTTAAGTGCTCATCAAAACATAATTATTGAATTATGTGTGATGCAACAAGAAGTGTCATTGTCTTGAGGAACATGTAGCCATCCAAAGAAGTGTGCTATTGTCTTCAGAAGTGTACAATCGTCTTGAGAAGCATGTGGCTACCATGAGAAGTGTGCGACTATGTCAAATAGTGTGTCATGATTTTGAGAAGCATGCCATCGCTCTAAAAGCACACAATGCACTAATTATATTGAAAATCGTGTGAATACATTATGCAAATGCACTGAAAAAATTGTAAGTGCATTATGTAGGTGCACCAAAAAATGTGTAACACATTGAAAATCATATAAATATACTATTCAAATGTACTAAAAAACATGCAAATACATTATGTAGACACATCATAAAACAAGAACACATTGATATGTGTGCAAATATATTGTGTAAATGTATTAAAAAGTTTGCAGGTTCATTGTATAAGCAAATAAAAGAACACATATATTAAAAGGTGCATGAATACACTTGTGTTAATGCATTGAAAAGCCTCCAAATCATATAATAAATTACTTTTGGTTTAAATTTCATCAACATTAAAAAACCTTAACAATTTTGTAAAATATATATAAAATATTTAAGCGAAATTTATCCCTTATTAACTTAAAAGCAATAATCATTCATCATCCGCAATCATTTATTGATGATGATAAATTTAAGTGTAATCAAAGCTTACGAAAAGCCTATCTTATCGAGCGCATTGCTATGCTTCATTCTCAAATAATATCTTGCCAGTAAGCATATGTCATTTTCTAATCGGTGCTCTTAGAATGAAATAACTTCATATGTAAACATTTATAATTAGGGCCATTCGACTGTGTAGTTTTGTCGCAAAAGGACTTCATTAAATTATAGTCATGGCTAGAATTTGCAAGTTCTCCGATGGCTAAAAAATTCATTGAGTAATAAATCATGGGGCACACTTGGTTTGAGATGCCCTTTGTTAACCTAAAATTGACTTAAATGTATCCTCTTAGATAAATATCCACCTAAGGTTTACAAGACTCCTTTGGATGAAACAACTCATGGCTGTCGAAAAGGTGCCTTTAGTTAGGATTGGTTGACTATCTTATTTGACTAAGTAGACCGAGGTCCATGATAAATCGAGATAACTAAACTATGGGATCTTGATCGTGTTTGTCATCTTTTCCCCACCACTTGCCCTAAGTTTTTTGATGGTAAATTTCTCAATATACACTAAACTTCTACTACTATTTGCTAAACATTTAGCTTATAATAACTAGTCTTAATCACGTGTTACATATATATATTATAAGGAAATAACCAATGTGTTAGCATATGAATGATTATATATTTCAAAATCCATCTCAACCATCCATTATATCATCATTTGATGCATGTGAAGTAGAGTGGAAAGTTGGTTTAACTATATAAGTGCTACATCACAATGATTCCTATATAGTTAAATAACTACTATGAATAATATTTTTAATTAAACTTTGGAAAGAAGTTATTATTGAATTAATTAAAATATATGTCACACTCTATTTAACACCCCCCCCCCCCCCACCCCCCCCCCCTCAATCAACCTGGAGTGTAATGGAGAAGGATAATCTAAATAAATATATCTCTTACTAACACCCATCCTAAATTACTTATATCAGAAACGGGTGTGTAGGAAATGATCTATTTTGACTATCCTAATACAATGCATTTTTCAATTTTAACAATTTATTTACACTTCATATTTGTAAGCATATTCATAGCTCATCAAATAAAATATAGAGCTTACTAAACTTGTCAAATAAAATTTACATACCCAATAGTCTGATTGTACAGCTTTTAACTCTGGCTTCTATGCGTAACCCAAAAATATATGTACACAAAATGCCTTATCCCTTCTCCTAAGAGCCTTGTGGCTCCTTACTTTTTTCTGCTTTGCAACCACTGCTAATGAGCTAAAACTCAATATCACACAAGTATAATATAAAGAAATAAGAAACATTAAATTTGCAGTCAATTGCAAATAATACTGGGGTTTTATAAGAATCATAAGTTGTTTAAAAAATCAATGCATATTTAACTTTGAATCTTTCATGTTATGTTTATTTTTTAGTATTTTTAGACAAATATATGATGACTATAGACTTTTGCACACTTATAACTCTCTCATTCAATGTTGGGTATGAATTCCCAACTTTTAGAAGTGAGAGTACAGCTCTCTCATTTAAGGTTGGATCTAAATTTTTAACTTTTAGAAGTGAGAGAGACAAGTACCATCTGTACGGTCCCTAAGGCTTACCTCGTTAGGTTTTTCACTTTTACTTGTGCGGGTCTATCCCCCATAATTTTATTTTTTATCATTTACCTTTCATTAGGTTTCACATTTTCATAAAATATCATTGTATATCCAGTAAATCGGCTAAACAGGTGTTGAACTCAATGGAACCAGTTAGCATGCTGGATTAAAAAAACTAATTGCTACCACAATTATATAAAAATGTTGTATAAAATTGCTCTTATTTTATTTATCATAAATTGAGTATCTCATCTCGTTCTCTAGGGTATTCGAGTAAATTTGTTCACTGAAACACCCCGGCTTCTTTTCCTCTTGTATACAACCTCAAGTAAGTTTCTCCTCACTCAACACTTCCCTTACCTCTCTTTCCTCTTCCTCCCTTTTCTTATTTTCCTTACCCGATCTCCACCCTTACCTGATTTTCTAAAATCAGCCGTGGCAGCCCACAACCCTCACGGCCTTTAGAGCTCTTGTGAACATTTTGGCAATTTTGGGTATTATGATATACTAATGTACTCATACATATATAATCATGACAAAATATTGGATTTTATAAATATACTTATAATCATTTTCATGGAGTGCAAAAAATGGGTATAAAACTTTTAAGATTTTTAAAAATTTACCTTTCAAAATTTTGGGCATTATAGCTAGGGCCTTTGGATCACTCACAACTCACAAATGGGATTATTAGGGATAAACCAGAAAGATGCAGCAGGTCAACGGGGAAAGGCTAGTATTTGATTTGTCATCATTGATTTTTTTTTTTCTTCCTTAAGTTGAGAGGCCTTGATCTATTTTATGGCATCTATAATAGTACAATGTCAATATTCATCCTGAAACACATTTTTAAGATCACAATCTGAGGTTAATACTTTTTTAGTGGATCAATATAAAATGAATGTCGAACTCACTATGGAAGAGGGTAGGTGATCAAATGGTCCAAAAGCGAGGAAGTTAATATTTACCCGTCATAACTTTTAACAGTCCTATATTCTACAATTTAAGATTTATTGATTTTTTATATTTGTGCATTCCAGTGTTGCACTAGCATGGCCTATTTAGCGTTATTGAATTCAAACTTGCAGGTTGAAACTCTGAAAAAGAAATTGCCTTGGCTTAAGTATGATATGAGAAAGGCGGTCTACAAGCATGCACAGAATCAAGAGGCAGAAGCAAAGAGAAAACTGGACGAAGCTGCTAAAATGATGAATGAACTTAAGAAACCCATTGAGTATGTTACTAACCAATCATAAGAATTATTTTCGGTTGTTCTATTGAGAATTCATCATTTGGTTGGAACAACATCCATATTATTTATATTTTTTCTGCTAGAATGTCATTGAATCATGTAATTTCTGGTAGTGGGTACAAAGATTTATGTTTATCAAATACCTTTGTATTTGAACTAGGTTTAGTGAAGTACGTGGCAAGTTCCTCAGGAGTTATGTTTAAGTTAAGATTAGAGTAACTCTTGTGAAGAATAATTTAACTGAGACATTCCGGTGTATTCTTATTAACTTTATTTTCCGACTTTAAATTCCATCTTAGTTTTGTACTAGAGGTAGGGGTCATTTTACAGCATATCTTTCATCTTTTCAGGAGTAACCATTGTTTTGATTTCTGGTTTCAAATTCGTTAGATCTCTAGAGCTTTTATTTTTGACAATAACATTGGAAGACTCTAACTTTGGTTGTGGATTTGAGATTGATGATGCAAACTATGTTTGGATTCCTTCTTAGTAGTATGATATTTTGGCAGTGATTATTGTGGATAATTATTATCATAAAGTTTATTATAGGAAGATTGACATTATATGCACTTATTATTTTATTTCATATAGTCAACTTGTTAGTTGATTATTAGTCTTTGTGGAAGTGCATGTTTGTTGTGTGTATTATGAAGATGATGCTAAGTTGATATCCTTATGGTTGTAAAGTCAGTTTCATGGTATGCATATGTTTAAGCCAGGAATAAATGGTATTCTAAGTTTCTTATTAGTTTAACCACAATGGCAACTGATTAGTTTTCATGAGTTTTGTGGTTTTTTTTGTCCTTATTTAGACCATTTGATTAATAATAATCCTATGATCAATTCATATATCAAGATATGATCTGATCACCCTTATTTTGGTCCTTCTGTTTTATTAAGGCCTAGTTTTTGGGGTGGGAAGGCTGGTTTTCAAGGCGGGTTATTTGTTTGAAAAAGTAATGATTGTAGCTGGTTTCTTTTCTGGCTTGGTTGAAGTGACCTTGGAGGTGACATTGTAGTTGACACAATTCATGCCAATGATGTTCTTTATTTAACGTAGCTTGGAAGTGCTCACACAAAATTTTTATTTATGTTTGGCTTATTGTTGTTTGAAAGTCTTTTATACCAAGATGCTATTCTTGAAGTTGCCCTTTACGAGGATTCTTATGGATGAACCTGCACTTAATAAGGTTTAAAAGGTGCCGAGGCTAACGAATCTGAGATTTCATGAGTTGCTTAAGACATACCTCAGCATTAAGGTAAGGACATAATTGTCAGGAGAATGATTAAGAATGAAACAATGTGACAAGGGAAATAGTAACTTGTTATTTTATCGTAGTATCTTATTGTTACCTAATGCATCCGTTGTGGTTACTATGTCACTGCAGTGACTCAAGGCATTTGTGTTCATTGTGTAGCTCCTCTGTCGTTTATTATTCTTTTGTTTTCTTAAACACAGAATCCTAAATAGCTAGTGTTACTATTATGCAAAGTTTTAGTCCATCCAGGTGTTAACATAATGTCATCTTAAGCTACTATTATAAGCAGATGATGAAATTATTTACCCCAGTGATATCTGTTCAATTTCTTTATTCGGAAAATTGGTTTGGCAGTTAAAAAGTTAAATCTTCTTTGGACTGTGATGTTTGTTTGATTGTTCTCTTAGTATGAGTATTGGTATTGTGGGCTCTTTATACTTTTTTTTTGGGTAGTCGCCACTCACCGTGATATTAATCAAATGAAATTTAGGACATTTTTATTAGTTACGCATTAATGGAAAAATTTCATTAATATTCATATATAGTAGTTTTATGCTTTTAACTGTCTACGAATGATGGAATTTTTTTTTTAATATTGGGATATAGTATTTCCATGCATTCAACTGACAGATGGTTGCAGTAAAAAAAGCACCAAGATCTATGATTAATTTTTATGAAGGATGGCAGTGACTACTACTTACTTTCCGTAATTTCTTCTTCTTTTTGAAGATGCTAAAGTTGATGAATGCTCTGGTAGATAATTGGCTGTATTGATTTCAATATTTAGGTGTTTTGGGCTAATGGGTAATGCCTGTCACTTGGTCACTGTTTGTTTAATTTTCTTTTTCTTCAATTTTCATCACTTACAGAATTCTATGGTAAACACCGCAACTAGTTTTGAATATGAAAAATTTATGCTTCTGAGTTCCTTTTGGAGGTATCATTTAGCAAGTTGCCACATTTAGGTCTTTTCTGGCCTTATTGCATTAGGTCTTATTAGACCTAGTGAGTTATTTATTGTGGTTTTCAAAGGATTAACTACCATAGTGTATCGATGTGAACTGTTATTCTTGTAGGAAACATAAGATGGAAAAAGCAGCGCAAGAATCAATTGTCAAGAAAATTAATGATCAAATAACCAGGAATTCAAAGAAAAGGATGGATTCAATAGAGATGGAGAGCAGAATGGTATGCTATACTTGGAGTTTCTACAAAATTACAGTTAGGATTACAGAATGGTAAACATATGTATCTTGATAGGGGGCCCAAGTGCGAGCCAAATATGAAGAAGTAGAAGATTTAAAAAAACAGGAGAAATCCCATCAGCATAGGATTCTGAAAGCCAAGGAAGATTTTGCAGCTGCTCAAAGGCAACTTGCTGAACTTCCAGCCTACAATCCTCCTAAAGAAGAGCTGGTATGCTTCCCTTTTATATATATATATATATATATATATATATAGTTGACTGCTGTCATTTTAGAAGGATTGATCATTCATCTTAAACTACTTAATGAATGAAGAAGTTTTGCAGCAAGATTGAGCACATGAGCACACTAAATATAATTGTAGGAATAGAAAAAGAGGAAATGGCGCAAGGCTCTGATGGCACAGTGCCTGCATGGTAACATTGTTCTTGCTTGACACATTAAATGAGTCATCCTGCAGCCTTGCCGCTACAAGCTGCGACATGATGGGCATCTTAACTCCATTTCTTCTATCCACAGATGGCCTCATCTCGAAGTGAATAGCATATTGAGACTATTATTGACTTCTCAATATGAAAGTCTCACACACCAACCGAAAGAAAGGGATTATACGTATAACCTTTAAAAGAGCTATTTAGTTTCTCTGTGGAAAATAATTTAGAATAGCGGGAAGTCTTCCCAGGCACACTGAAGTGTAAATGCAATCAAAATGAAGCTTAATCTTTATTGGTAGACAGATGTATTTGGAACAGTAGGAGTTTTTTGAGTGCAAATACCTTGACTTTAATTATTTTTTAACACAGATATTTTGAGATCAAATGTGTGAACATTCATCTTGAACTTAATTTTTTATATATGCGATTGTGATATTTTTAGTAGAATTCATGTTGAATGGTTGAAGTGTAGGAATGCATCGGGCTTGTTGTGTGATAGAAGTCTCATTCAAACTTAAGGGAAAATTCTATAAAATGGTGGTTAGACCTACAATGTTTTATGGTGCAGAATGTTGGCCATTAAAAGAGAAGCATAATATTAAGTAGTGTTGTAGAGATGAGGATGCTCAGGTGGATGAGTGGCTTTACTCTTAGAGACAAGATATGAAATGAGCATATATGTGAAAAGGTTGGAGTAATTCTAGTGGAAGATAAGATTAGAGAGAGTCATCTTAGATGGTTTGTTCATATAAAACGGCGGGCTTCTGATGACCTGGTTAGGAAAGTAGATGTTTTGAGGCAGATTGAGGCGTAATCGGGAATCGAGGCGTTTTTTCTAAGCGAGGTGAGACGTAAGCCTCAAAACGATTAAAATAAGATAATTTAAAATTATAAATATGGACAAAAAATAACAAAATATTATGTCAATTATGAATTTAAAGATTTGTTCTAAGATAATATTACTGGAATACAAGATTTAAAATAAAACATCCCCTTATGATTAAGACCCAATGCAGGCTCATCATCACTTTGATTGTCTTCAGAAGAATCTTCATAATTAATGTCAAAGTCATCCTCAAACTCTTCTTCATCTATAATTTTTTTTCCTTTATCCCCTATATCAGTTAATATTTTATTAGCTCTAGAATGAAACAATAATAACATAAAAAATAATTCATTATATTTGATAATACCTTTGAATTTTTTCGATGCTCCAATCTTACTTTATTTCTTTCTTTTATATACTTGGGTAGTTGCTTCATTGTCTTCATTGACATGAGTTTTTCCTTCTGCTTTAATTTCAAAAATATAAGCATTCTTAGGAGTAACCCATTCATTATCAGATTGTAACTTATCAACAAGCAAAGGGTCAATTTCATTCTCAACATTTTCTTGATTCTGCAATTTGAGATGTCTATCTTTTAGTTTTTTGTTAAACATAACATAAATTAGTTTGTTCATTCGATCTTCCGCCAATCGATTTCTTCTCTTAGTATGAATTTGATTGAAGATGCTCCAATTACGCTCGCATGCAGAAGCCGAACACGTTAGGCTAAGAACTTTAATTGCAAAAGCTTTCAATTCAGGAACATCATCTCCAAACTAAGCCCACCAACGTTCTACATGAAAATGAATAGTATTTTATGAATATTGGTTGAAGCAGAAGACTTGAATATAAATATTAACATTAAAATTAGAAATATACAAACTATAAACATACCAGAAGATCGTGTTTTGTAGCATGCTTGTGCTGCTCTAAATCCAAACATTCTCTTCTTTAAATCAAAATTCTCAAGTTGATCATTCACTTTGAGGTAGTTTTTTTTCAGAAATGAGTATGTCCATACATACATACAAATTAGTTTTCACCTCTTTATCAATATGAAAATCCTTATCATAATAGAATTGGAGGTTTAAATAGTACGCATCAGCATGTAAGTGTTGGTGTAATTGACAATCTCACTTTTCATCTATAATATCTCATATTTCTTTGTAGGCACTTTCTTGACTTCCCAAATCTTTTGCAATGTCTTCTTTAGCCCTATTCATTGATTCATAAATAAATCTCATAATCGGGGCCCTCTCATCATCAACCATTCTAAGCACCTTAACTAATGGTCATGTTATCTTCAAAGCATAATTTGTACTGCGCCAAAATGAATCGTCTTTTATAACAATCTATTTTAACTTGTTTTCCTTCTTATTTTTTGGCCCATAAACTTTTATCCCAATATTCAGAAGCAAACATAGCTTTCAAAGGTTGTCTTAACTTCTTGAATCTCTGCAATGTTAAATATGCAGTAGCAAATCTCATAACAGTAGGTCTAATAATTTCCTTGTCAGTGAGTTTTCTCATCAAGCTGAGTATCTAGGAATGATTGTATATGAACTTACTAACGAATTTGGCCTTCAATAGGGCTGATTTATGTTGAGGCAACTGTCCCAACCTCTCAAGCATTAAGTTAATACAATGTGCGGCACAAGGAGTCCAATAAAGGTGAGGCCTCTTCTCCATTAACATTCTCTCTGCAGCTTTGTATGCACTTGCATTATCTGTAATAACATGTACTACTAAGGCATCTCCCACTTCCTCCACAACTCCATCCAACATTTCAAACAATAATCGTGCATTCTTTACAAAACTTGAAGCATCTACTGATTTGAGAAAAACTGTTCCATATAGATTATTGACCATGAAATTAATAATACTTATATGTCGAATATCTGACCAACCATCTGACATTATTATTACTCCTGTCTCAATCCAAGTCTTCTTAACATCATCCACCATTTTTTAAATTGTCTTGACCTCCTCATTTAGCATCCAAGTCCTCAGCTCATACATCTTGGAAGTTATAGTCCTCTTCCATAGCTTCCAACAGATCGTAACATATTGATCTATGATGGAATCCTAACAATATTAAATGAAATTCCATTTTCATAGATGAATCTGACGATATCCAAACAAACTCTGTTCCTGAGTTCTTTTGTAGCAGTAAGAGGCTGAATATTCTGAGTATTTATGTTTTCCTCATCATCAATATTTATCATAAATTTATCCATGGGCCCCCAACTACCTCGGTCAGAAGAAACTAGATGGCTTACACTACTGGAACCTTCATGTTGTGATCCATAGTAAGAAGAGTTTCCTGTCATCTCTTCCATATTTCTTTTTGTGGCCTCCTTCGTTGTGGCAAACTTCTTTAAGTAATCTATACATTCTTTTTTCACTTCATCAGGTACTTTTGCACACGGTCCCACATTGACATGAGTGCAAGCTAGGTGATTCTTCAGCCTCTTGACACCACCCGTAATGTGCTTCTCACAGAAATTACATTTCATGTAAACATATCCCTTCTTCGCACCTTCGCCTGACACTTCAACTTGAGTGTCATATTTCCATGCAGAATCTTTCTTTCTCGCGCCACTAGTCATATTAATAATAGATAGAAAAGAACAATTAACATCAAATACAAATTATAAACAACTACCACCATTACTGGTATATAACAAATTATAAAACGTGTGATAAATATATTTTATACTCTCACTTTAAATTCTCAAAATCTGCCAATTTCTTGCCTAATTTTACGAGTTTCAAATCAGCACTCTTAAATTCCAACAAGAATAACAAGTTTCAAACCATGACATCAAATATAACTACCATTAGGCATATGCTATAGTCCTTGAATCCTGATTCTTACTACAGTAGCGAAGCCAAATCAAAGAAGGTAATTGCCAGCAGCAATATACCCAACTCCAAGTTGCATGCAAATAAGGCAACAAACCAAACACAAGTTATATGACTAATTTCTGATGTGATATATGAATATTTCATTTGAAAATAAAAGCACTATAATTTTAAAAAATATTTCAATGCAATGCTCATATATGATTCAATATGATACTATCGAAGAAACAAAATTTTTATGAATATAATCAATATATGTTGAAGGACGTTCCAGATTCATAAAATATTTTGTGATTATAATATGAATCACATCTAATGATATGAATCTAAATATTCACATATATTAGGTCATGTTCATCCTCAAAATTTATACATGAACAAGAATCAAAATGAAGTTTGAAAGTAAAAATGAGCATGAAATCATAAACATAATGATGTAGAACGGGAGGGAGGTAATTAAAAAAAATTAAAGAGATAAAATTCAATCTCATATTTTCCTTAATTAATGGATTTGAATTTGAAATTCAAATACAAAAAAGAGGGAGGGAAAAGAGGAATTAATTATCTCTTTAATTGGGGCCTTTAATTATGAAGGAAATAATTAGGATAGAGGGAGAGAGGAGCCAGCCTAATGAAGAGGGAAAGGAAAGGTGTCCACATACAATGTATGTGCATCCATGCATTAATGGGAGATTGAAGAGTTAAATATGAAATAATTTCATATTTAATATGATTGAAGGATTTTCTAAAATAATTGTTTGTTATTTAGGAAAGAATTTAAAATTCAAATTCATTTGAATTTGAATTCTAAAACTTTCCAAATAAGTTAGGAGCTAATTTAGGAAAGTAATAATAGTGAAATGAAATTGGATATAAGGGATTAATTAATCAATCAATTTCAGAATTGATTAATTAATTGAATGAAAGAGGTTACCAAAAATAAGGTAATTAATGATGATGGATTTGAAATTCAAATTAGATTCATTCGAATTTAAATTTTTTTCAAATTAATAACAACTTAAATAAGGAAAGATGGTTTTTTTTTTTTTGACGGAGCTGGGGCTAGGGAATGAGGTGGCCGGCAGTTTTGTGGAAGAGGAGATGTTTATGGGAGAATCGGCCGGTGGAAAGTGGGGGATTATGGCCGGCGGTCAAGGGAGGAGGAGAAAAGGATTTAGGGAAAGAAAGATACAATCGCGAGCCCGGACACATCCTGCAGCTGACGGGTAATATGTTGCCCTACTCCAAGGGATTTCAAGCCACGAGTCCGGACACATCCTGCAGCTTGTGGAAGCTACGAATTCCTCCCATAGAAATCTCACCCAAGGTTCTTCCCAAAGAACACAAGTGCAAATACAAAATTTTATTATAATTCCATCATTCATCTAATACAAGAGCAAGAACCTCTATATATAGGCTTTAAAAGAAATTAAAAGACAACTTTACCCATTGGGCTTACATAAGATAATACTCTTAAATAAGGGTAAAAACGAGAAATGCAAAATTAAATCAAAATACAATTAATAATCTAAGATAAAAAGGAGTGATCTAAGCCGTCGATCTTCGTCTCTTTCTTTTGATTAATGTCCACCGTCGGATGTTTGCATCATTCTCCCGGGGTGGAAAAGAGCTCGACTCCGTCGAGTCTGTACCCCGGGTAACCATGCTCTGATACCAAACTTATATAGAACAGGAGGGAGGTAATTAAAAAAAATTAAAGAGATAAAATTCAATATCATATTTTCCTTAATTAATGGATTTGAATTTGAAATTCAAATACAAAAAAGAGGGAGGGAAGAGAGGAATTAATTATCTCCTTAATTGGGGCCTTTAATTATGAAAGAAATAATTAGGATAGAGGGAGAGAGGGGCCAGCCTAATGAAGAGGGAAAGGAAAGGTGTCCACATACAATGTATGTGGATCCGTGCATTAATGGGAGATTGAAGAGTTAAATCTGAAATAATTTCAGATTTAATATGATTGAAGGATTTCCTAAAATAATTGTATGTTATTTAGAAAAAAATTTAAAAATCAAATTCATTTGAATTTGAATTCTAAAACTTTCCAAATAAGTTAGGAGATAATTTAGGAAAGTAATGATAGTGAAATGAAATTGGAATTAAGGGATTAATTAATCAATCAATTTCGGAATTGATTAATTAATTGAATGAAAGATGTTACCAAAAATAAGGTAATTAATGAGGATGGATTTGAAATTCAAATTATATTCATTTGAATTTAAATTTTTTTCAAATTAATGACAACTTAAATAAGGAAAGATGGTTTTTTTTGCAAACACAAAATTTTATTATAATTCCATCATTCATCTAATACAAGAGCAAGAGCCTCTATATATAGGCTTTAAAAGAAATTAAAAGACAACTTTTTCCCTTGGGCTTACATAAGACAATACTCTTAAATAAGACTAAAAACGAGAAATGCAAAATTAAATTAAAATACAATTAATAATCTAAGAAAAAAAGGAGTGATCTAAGCCGTCGATCTTCGTCTCTTTCTTTTGATTAATGTCCACCGTCGGATGTCTGCATCACATAAAATATAAACTTGAATTTATAATAGAGATTGGACATAAGTCGCAATGCAAAATTGAACCAATATAAGCAATTTGAAAATGTAACTAATAATCCCCAGAAAGGATATTCAATTTTGTATGAGCTTCTTATTGACGTCAAATAATCCACGGTCAACTTCTAAGCGGGTCAAGAGCAGAAAAGAGGATTAATCCTCTCATATGTAACAAGGATAGCGTACTGAGGAGGTTCAACCGGCACGACATCCCGCAGAAAGTGCGTAAAACTCGTTACCTTCGGGAGAGGCTTGTGGAAGTCAAAAGTTTGTGGTTGCTGAAGTCGGCATTTCAAAGCCCCTCGCGTCTGCAGATGTAGAAAATGACGGGAATGCGAGAAAATCAATAAAAGATGAAGCAAAGACGGGAATGGGAAGAAAGACAAAGGTTCGAAATGGGAATGGAACCTTACCTTCGCCTCTATGTACTTCGAACTTGACCGAAGTTGGTTGTTGAATGCGGTGGAGTTTCGTTTTCGCCTCTCAGTTCTCGCACGAAGCCCTAATCCTATACACGACCCCTTATACGACTCCAATGAGTACCGCCCGGTCGTGTTTAATGAATAAACCGAGGCGGTGCCTCGTTACGCCTCGAGGCTTTACGATCTGAGGCGTACGCCTCGTGCGAAAAAAGCGTACGCTCCGTCCGAACCTTAGATGCGTAAGCCTCGACTCGTATTTCTTCTGCCTCGACTTGAGGCGCGCCTCATTGCGGACTCCTCGTCTGCCTTTTTATTCCATGATTGTGTTGCATATATCTGTCAATGCCATCAATACACAATTAGATCCAAGAGCCATTAGGTGCATCTTCATTGGATACTCCTCGATTTAGTAATGGTAGTGTTTTCATCTCAATGCCAAAGGATTCTTCATCTCTTGAGATGTTAATTTTTCTAAAAATCAAGGGTTTTATGGCCAAGATTGTCATAAGGAATGCCTTGGATTGATGACAATTGTTATTTTTTTGCACTTGATTTCACAACCACTCAACCAACCCAAAGTTTCATGTCTGAGACTTCTTGAAGAGAGAGATAGCCTCCTTAGGTAACTCCATAAAAATCCCTCCTAATGACCTAAATCATTACTACAGTAAATTCATGATGGGTGAAAGAAGAGCCTAACATCAAACCAAAGCATGCTCAACCATTTTACAGGTTTAATTCTCTGGAAATTAAATAAATCTGGATTTACATGATTTATTAAATCTTACTAGAGTTGCACCCTTTTTCTAAGTATAGCCCAGTTCTGAATGGAAATGAATGTTGAACCGGAATTCAAAAAGGTGGCTTTGAATTAATTTTTATAGCTGTATGCGGCATGCCTTTGCTTCCCCGGCTGATGATGATGTGGATTTCTGCTAACTTAACATGTTAAAATTTTTGTCTTCCTTGTTGGTAGAGGATATCTTACATTGATTTCATTTGAAATTTTAATATTTAATTTATGTTCTGAGAAGATTGCTAGTTTCAAATGTGAGATCGCTGCTTGTGAAGATTCTACCCTTTTGCTGTGGTTTAGTCTTTTAAGAAAGCTCTTGTTTTTGTGAGAATAGGAAAAGCTTGGTTATCAAATATTGGAGCTGGAAATGAATGCAAATCAAATTAAATTGCAACGGACCGAGAAGGGAAATTTTCTTAATCAGAAGAAAATGTCCTTGAAGAAGTGCACGGACAGGTAATGTTTACGTTCTTATCTTGTTGCACAAGTCCCTTTTTAGTTATTGTACCCTAATTAATGGTGTTAATTTAGGTTGAAGGAGATGGACAATGAAAGCACCAAACTTCTTCAAGCATTAAAAAATTCTGGTGTTGATAAAATATTTGAGGCTTATAATTGGCTGCAAGAAAATCGTCATCAGTTGAAGAAAGAGGTATATGGTCCTGTCCTTTTGGAGGTATGCGGAGTTAGTTTTCACATTTCTCTTCTTATTTATGTAGTAAAATGTGGAGACTGATGACCATGTTCTGTGGCTAAATTTTTAGGTTAAAGTTTCCAATGGAGTTCATGCTACCTATTTAGAGAATCATGTACCTAATTATATTTGGAAGGTAAGCTGGTATCTGCATATTGTTTCTTGATAGATATGTGTGCATATGAGTGCAATCATGCATTTGTTTCTTGAAATATATAAGGTTAGTGTTAGGCTAATAATATGTTTGCTTTATGAGGACATTTGTAATAATATGCCCTTTCCTGTAACATATGTTTTTAATATATAAGGTTAGTGTTAGGCATATGAGTGCAATCATGCATTTGTTTCTTGAAATATATAAGGTTAGTGTTAGGCTAATAATATGTTCTTTCCTGTAACAACAGCCAGTAACAAAACACTGGTGAGCTATGAGATTCAGTAAACTTTGCAAATTAATTAATATTTTAAGTATAAGCAGTGGAAATAATCAGACATTGAAATCATTATAAATTCATAATTAACTTTAATCTTTACTTCTTCTGAATTCCACCATGAATATCAATTTTATCCATAAAAAATTTGGCTACACTTCATAACATTATTCAATGGAGCCCAAGTAAATCTGGCATCATTGCCATTGAATTACATAGAGGTCCATTTTGCCTCTTTAGGGTTCTCTTTTGCCCCATCTGCTATGCAGGTATCATATTCTGTGGGGTCCCTTTTGCCCCTCCTGTAATACAAGTATATTATATGCGGTCCCTTTTACCCCATCTGTAATTATAGTTATACATCATTTGTAGCCAAACTTTACTTTTCAATCCATATTCACAAAGCTTTCAGTATTTATAAGTCATACTGATGTTGTTGCATTCTTTCATCATCATTGTTGTAATCACCGGTATACAATTAAAATGCACACCATATGCAAGTAAACTGACATCTTTCCAAAATAGTATCAAATAGGAAAATATTTAGGTAGTCGATAGCCAGTGTAAAACTTGTCGAATAATCGTGACATGAATCCTTTAAAAAATTGTGTTAATGCTAGGGCGTCCCCTGGAAGCGACGCGCTGTATGACTTGAATACAGTGACAAGTGTGCAAGGGCCACTGCACCGACACCCGGGTGCAATGTTAAATAGGCAAGGGTTCCCACATCAAGGACGGATGTGGGCAAAGAAGCTAGTCCATGAAATTAATATTATGATAGGAACTTGGAATATAGGCTCCCTTACAGGAAAATTAATGGAATTAATATATATTATGATTCATAGAAAGATAAATTTTCTGTGCATTCAGGAAACTAAATGGGTTGGAGAGAAAGCTAAGGAGATTAATAGTTTATATGAGTGAAATATTTGATATTAAAATTTTATATGAGTAGTAGAAATGTAATATTATTAAAGTTTTAGGTGTAGATATGTAAATAACATGAAATAAAGTGGTATGTATATAGAGCTCTCTATTTAAAAATAGACTTTTTATGTTAAAGCCCACTAGAAATACAATGTTTAACACTGAAATGTTCATAGTTAAAAAACCTAGACAAAAAGGGTAAAAAGATTTTATATCAAGATAACACATATCTATTACATCTTAGACTTTGTTATATTTACTTAAATATGATTAAAAGATTAGTAAAGGATGATCCTTTAAGAGAACTGCAATCGAAACTCTACTAATTTGTGAGTCTTTTTTAAAAGGACAAATAACCAAGAGAACTTTTTATGGAATTGATGAATGAGCAAAAGAAATCCTCGAACTTGTACATTTGATTGTTTGTGGTCTATTTAATATACAAGAAAGAGGTTGTTCTGAATATTTTGTCATTTTCATAAATTGTTATTCAATATATGATTATATTTATTTAATGATAAGAAAATCTGAATCTTTTAGAAATTTTAAAGAATTTCATGTTAAATTTAAAATTTAATTTGGCAAGTCATTAAAAATACTTCAAACAAATCAGGGAGATGAGTACTTAGATACAAAATTTATAGATTACTTAAAAAAGAATGGAATTGTATTGCAACTCACTACACCTATAACTTCACAAAAAATGGTGTTGTTGAAAGAAGAAATCAAACATTGGTCAATTTGGTTAGGTCTATGTTAAGTCACTCCTCACCAAATTCATTTTGGTGATATGCAATAAAAACTTTTATTTATATTTTGAGCATTAAACCTTTAAAATCAATGCATAAGACACCTTTAGAGTTATGAAGTGGGTGTAAGCCTAGTTTACGACACATCTATACATATGGATATTTAACACATATATTGAATGAAAAAATAAATAAGTTAGAATCATGTTCACAAATATATATTTTTTTGGATATCCTAAAGGTTTTAGAGAAGATTTATTTTATAGTCCTCAAGAAAAGAAAGTATTTGCATCGACAAATGCTACTTTTCTTGAACATGAAAACATAAAAGATTTTAAACCTCAAAGTAAGGTGTTGCTCAAGAAAAAACTAAATGTGCCACAACTCAAAATCACAAATGAAACAAAAATCATTATTGAAAGCCATTAAAAAAAACCACCACTCCAAATCAAGCACCTTTAATACCTCATCATTGTGGGAAAATTATTAGATTACTCCCTAATTATAAAATTGAAGGAGAAGCATGTATTGTTACATCTGATGATGACAATGATTATCCATTGACATATAGACAAGAATTAGATGATTCTAATAAAGAAAAATGGCTAGAAGTCATGAAATATGAAATAGATTAAATGTATTTTACTTTTATTTGGGAACTTGTGGACCTTTCTAGTGAGGTAAGACCTATAGGATGTAAAGGGATTTGTAAGAGAAAAAGAAGTGCTAATGAAAAATTTAGACTTTCAATGTCAGGCTAGTGGAAAATGGATACACTTAAAAAGAGGGAATTAGTTATGAAGAAACTTTCTCTCAAGTTACTCTATTTAAATCTATACACATAATTTTATCCATTCCTACATATTATGGAGGTCAATTTTAGAGTCTAAAGGTTTTTGCTTGAGTATATCTAAAACAGAATATATGGAGTGTAATTTTAGTAGCAATAGACCTAGTGAGGGGATTGTGACTTTGGGCGATCAAGTCATTAATAAAAGTACACGTTTTAGATATTGTGGATCAATTGTTCAGAGTGATTGTGAAATAGATGGAGATATTATCAGTCGAATTCAAGTTGGATGGTTGAAGTGGAGGAATGCATCGGGTTTGTTATGTGATAGAAATGTACCCCTCAACTTAAGGGAAAATTCTATAAGATGGTGGTGAGACCTACAATGCTTTATGGTGTCGAATGTTGGCCATTAAAAGATAAGCATAATACTAAGTTAAGTGTTGCAGAGATGAGGATGCTTAGGTGGATGATTGGCTTGACCCTTAGAGATAGGATACGAAATGAGCATATACGTGAAAAGGTTGGAGTGGCTCCATTGGAAGATAAGATTAGAGAGAGTCGCCTTAGATAGTTTAGTCACATTAATCGGAGGCCTTCTGATGACCCTGTTAGGAAAGTTGTGGTATTAGATTTGACTTTTGTTAAGAAAGGTAGAGGTAGACCTAAAAAGACTTGGTTAGAAAATATTAGAAATTATCTTTCCTTATTAGATTTAAATGAGAAATTAACTTTTAACCGGACACAATGACGTAAAAGGATTAATGTAGCCGACCCCACGTAGTGGGACAAAGGCTTGATGTTGTTGTTGTTGTTGTATACTAAACCTTGTTTTACCCTTACCTGATGTCATTATGTATCTGGTTGTTTATACCTGAAAACATGAATTAAAAATCCTTTCTATACATTAAACAAATTTAATAACTTTTTTCTTTAATGCATTCAAAATCAACCTTCATGCCTATAAATGAAAGTTCTTATATTTGAATATAATGCCATTTCTTACCTTCTTGTCGAGGTGTCTCCAATTCTCTACTTCGAAGTCTTCTACGATTGTAAGTCACGTGAAGCTTTCTCTTTGCATAAGATCAGACCAATTTATGATACAATAAATATAACATCTTTAAGAACTTTAATACCTTAAATAATATAAAAGACAAGGAAGAATATTATAATTCTTACTTTTCTTCCAATCTTTAAAATTTCCTCTCTAAATCTTTCTTCACTGATTACTCAATTTGTTTGCACACTTATCTTAAACCACAATTCATCACATATTCCATAATAACTTGATGTAATCAAAAATTTGGGAAGGGTTCCCAAATTTTTGATCACAAAAGAAAACTCTTTCTAGATAATAAAAACTTACATGAACTCATGAAAAGAATACAAATTAGACAATTTATGACTTCAAAACAAAACACAAACTCCACTTTATATCATAAAATGACACCTTACAAACGACGCTTGCAAACTTAGAAAATAAAGACACCTTAAACACCTAAACTTGCTTTGCCTTGAGAAGAAGGATTTACCTCCAGAAATAGAAGTGAAATTTTTAATAACTTTGTAGCCTAGTACGAATCCAATTGTAAAAGCACCTTATAGAATGGTGATGTAGGCAAAGGGGGGGGGGGTCAAAACAAGTTGAGTTGAAAATTTTGTAAGTTCTGCTTGAGCCAGCTCATTAATGAGCCTCTTCTTATGTTTTAGCTCATAAATGTAATAATGACACCTTACAAATTCATTCACTATAGGAATGAAATGTAAATTATCACTCTTTTCTATTGTCACTTTCAACTTTGCTAAGAAAACTAAATCACCCATTCTAAGATTTTTAAGCACATGGCTAGAAGTAATCAAGGAAGAAACTACTCTTTTACATTGAAAATAAAATTCTTCTTCTTCAGGCAAATCGAATCTGACCTTCTTCTTCCAACATTCAATAGTGGCAAAATGTTTGACTAACCAATCCATTCCCATAACTAAATCAAATTCAACCAATGGAAGTAGTATCAGATCTGCGTAAAATTTCCTACTATCTATCATAAAATCAACTGAAAATGTTGTACTGGCATTCAAATAATTACTCGCAGGTAATCTAACATTCAATCCAGGAGTAAAAGAGACAGGTTCCATATGCACTTTCTTAAAAAATATCTCAGCTATGAAGGAATGCGACGCACCATAATCAAAAAGTACTTTAGCAGGTAGATTTGAAATATTTTTAGTACCTATC